TCTTGCCAACCGACTCGGGCATATACAGGTTAGCGGCACACCCCAGATTAGAATCTCCAATTTAGAGATTGGAATTACCAATGCGATAACTAAAGTCTAAAGTTCAAATTACCTGACGAAGAAAGATAGAAATGATTTTTACTAACTTTTTTTTTGATAATAACTCGAGAGTTGGAAAATGATGATCAGATATTAGTTTACAGTTAAGTCTATGATTTGTAGTTACTTCTACCTTTCAGGATATAAAAGTTTTTTTTTATCGAAAATTTGACACTTCAAAAATGGAAAACTTATACGAAGAAAGACTAACTTTTAAGTACTTGTCTCGATTCTCTTTCCGTAAAGTTTGACCCATCCTTTTTCTTCCATACATAAATGTTTCGAATTCGATCTTGAACTTTTTCTTGTCCATTTTGGAAAGCTGCAAAAGTTGAAATTTTTTTTTTTTTAATTTAGTTGTTTGATTTTGTCTGCTGTAAATCTTTGGCTTCTTTTTTTTAAATAGATCGATTTATCGAAAGGGGCTTGGTTCAGATGAAAATCAACTAATTGCATCTCGAGATCAAATGGGGGGAGGGGAATAAGAGAGCGCGCCTCGTTAAGAAACGTCAAAGTCGAGACATCACAATATGCAAGAGACTCGTTCGCAATCGATCGAACTTGGGAGAGAGAACGCAGTCTCTCCCCTTTTGCATCCTATCTATAGGGTGATGAGAAACAGGGGGACAAGAGAAGGGTTTAATCGCGCCGGTGCGTTAATTAATTCCCGGTGATCTCAATTAAAATATTAATTACGGCGAAACAATGACGCGGTGACGGGAGCAGGCGCCGAGGTGGGGCATTCTCTGCCTCTTCTTCCCTTTACCCTTCCATTCACCTCGCCACTTATTCTTCAGCTGAGGTGGAGCCCACAGGAACGCCACTGTGATGCCATTACGATTAACCGCCCCCCCCATCCTCTATAAGGCTTATCTGATAACCACGCCATTATGTTCCTTTGGCCCGTGGCTTCGTTGACTGGTCCGTTGGTTTCGCATTTTCAAGCCAGGGTTCTCCAGCATCAAGAGAGAGTTGAAAATTTGCATATCTCTTAACCGACTCGAAAGATACCAGCGCAAACAAGTGTCCCCTCCGCGATCCTATCGACGATCTGGAACACGATATCTCGGCATCGTTCGAGAATCGATCGCAACCATCGAGATTCCAGTGATAAAGATCCCGATTTCCATGAGATAAGCTCTCAATGTACTTAACATTTTGGCGATTTCAAGAGTGATTTCCTCCACTCGTATTTATACGCTCAATATATAACCGCAGTAAGAGATAAAAGTTGGCAGAAGTGCTAATGTGAGATGCTGATTTTAATTCACTTGGAATTAAATTTGCATTTTTTAGTTATTTATTTTAGAGATTTATTTGTGTTGTCTCTAAAGTTGAATTAGGAAAAATTGAGCTACTAATTCAGGTTAGTGTTGTAGAATATTATGTTAACTAATTTTGAGGGCAATTACATTCGCTGGGTTAAAACTGGTTTGAAGGTTTGTAATTTGTAGGAGGGGGAACGTAAGCACCGGAGTGGGGATAATGAGCAAGAAAAAGAAAGAAGAACGTTGCTTCTTTCTTACTCTCATTGCTCCCACTCCTGCGCCTGCGCAGGCGCAGAAGTGGAGACAATGAGAGTGAGTGAGCAGCGTTTGTCTTTCTCTTTCTTTCTCATTATCCCCACCCCAGTGCTTACGCTCCCCCTCCTACAAATTACAAACCTTCAAACCAGTTTTAACCCAGCGAATGTAATTAGTTTATTTTTATTTTTTTCTACACTAATGTATTTCATAAAAGAATTTAAATATTTATAAAAATAATTTAATTCTTGAGAAAAATTTTTAAATAATTGATTTCATTCGACTAATTTTATGCAAATTATAATTTAAATAATTGAATTCCTGAGAAATTTTACTTATTCATGAAAAGAATTCAGTTTGGAAATTTTATGAAAATAGTAGATATTGAAAATCATTGAATTACCAAAAGTTTTACTTTTACAATTTTAAAATTTTACTTTTAAAAATAATTGAATTCTTGTGATGAATATTGTTATTTAAGAAAACAATTGAATTTTGCAAAGAATTTTATAAAAATGCCTCAAAATAACTGAATTTTTGGGAATAATTTGATTATTTATCGACATAATTGAATTCTTTCGAAGAATTATTTATGTAAATAATTGAATTCTTGGGAAAATTGTATTAAAATTTAAAAGAATAATGGAATTATTTCAAAAAAAATTTAATTAACATTGTATTTACAATAATTGATTGCTTTCGAACAATTTTATTAAAATATTTGAAAATAATTGAATTCCTGTGAGAAATTCTAATATTGTTGTAAATAATGGAATTCTTACAAAGAATTTAAAAAAAAATTATTTTTAATAATTGATTTTTTCGAGGATTTGAAATTAAATTTTTAAGAATAATTACATTTTTTGAGCAATTCCTGTAAAATTGTATTAAAAAATTTAAATCCTGCGATAAGTTTTATTATTTATTAAAATAATTGAATAGTTACTCAAAATTACATTAAATTTTTCAAAAATAACAATTAAATTCTTGAAAAGAATTTTATTATTTATGAAAATAATTGAATTCTTGCAAAAAATTTTATTAAAATGTTTAAAAAAAAATTGATTTTCTGTGAAAAATTTTATTTTTTAAAATAATTGAATTCTTTATAAGAATTTTATAAACATTGTTTTAAATAATTAATTTTTTCGAAGTATAATAAATATTATGAAAATTTTATTTTAAATAATTGAATTCTTGTGGAAATTTTTATTTGTGAAAATAATTGAATTTTTTGAATAATTAATTTAAAATTGTATTAAAAATAATTGAATTTCTTCGATGAGTTTCATTATTAATGAGAATAATTGAATTCTTGCTTAGTATTTTATCAAAAACTTTTTTAAACAATTGAACTTCTATGAAAAATGTTATTATCAGTGAAAGTATTTAAATTATTCTGAAGAATTGTATAAAAATTTTGTTAAATAATTGGTTTTTTCGAAATCTTTTTGAAAATGCTATTTTAAATTAATTGAATTCCTATGGAAATTTTACTATTTATGAAAATAATTGAATTTTGGATAAATATTATCAATCTTTTTTAAATAATTAAATTCTTTTGCGAAATGTTATGAAAATACTAGATATTTAAAATAATTGAATTTCGAATATTTTTTGAAAATAATTGAATCGTTTTAAAGAATTTGATTATAATTTTTGAGTATAGTTTTTTGATTTATAGTATTAGCGAATTTAAACTTTTAAGGTAGTGGAAATTCTAAAAAAAACATATGAGTGCGAAGCCTGTAATAATAATTAAAATTTTAAATAAATAATTTAATAAATAATAATACAAACTTAATTTTAATAATTGAAATAAACATAATATATTTTTTGTAACATATTCTTCATAATGAATCACAATATACAAGTTAATTTATTCAATCATGTTAACAAGATAATTTTGATTATTAGATTGTCAATATAGTGAAAAGAAGTATAAATCTTGACAATATCGAGAGTAAACACTTCCTCCCACGCTCTCATTCAATTCCATATGAACTATGAAATCTGTACGTTAGTCAACGACCCACTATCAGAAGTTTAATCCCTACCGGGCCAGGCAATAGCGAGCGCTTATTGAAAATACGATTGTTGAATCACTGATGGAGGATAGCGCGTGACCCATGCATATAATAAAGCCCGTTTTCACTGTGTGGATAACATTATTCCTGTATATGTTCACATAGGAAAGCTTCTCAGCGCTGAGAACGCACTTCATTGCAGCACCTGACACCACAGGGGGTCAGTGGTTATCATTTCTCTCCGTATGTAGAATAATTATTCCTCACATGTTTCTTAACGAAATTTCTCATAAACTTTTGTTTAAAATATATAATTAAACATCAGAAGTTTATTTCCTACCGGGCCTGGCAATATAATTAAACATCAGTGTTTTATATTGAGAGTTGATTTCCTTTTATCGAAAATTATATTAAAAACATAACTTTGTTTTTTATCTAAAGTAACTTTCTTAGATTTTAGTTGTTAATTAGAGGAAAATATTAAACTTGTGCCAAATTGTAACTTGACATTCTCGCTCTTCGGGTCAGATATGAGCAACCCTGTGAGGATCGTGACGAGTGAAAATACAAACAGTTTAACTGGGATGAGTAGTCGTTTAACGTTCTTTAAAGATCATTCCTTCTCGTCTATATGTTTATCTCCCTCCATCTTTCTTCGATTTCACTTCCCCTCTTCCTTTGACTTTCTTTCTAAATATTTGCTAGGTAAATAGCTCTCTTCTATTATAACTTTTGTATAACTGTAAACATAATTGAAATTTTGATTTTTTATTTAAAGATCATAGTGCGGTCAAATAAGGTGATTATTAATGTGTGTGATGATAAAATCAAACATATTGATGATTTGTTAAATCATTATCATCATGTTTAGTATCATTATTTGAAGAGTGAACGAGATGAACGAGGTGAACAAGGTGAATGGATCTAATTCGAATATAATTTTTAAATAGTGCGCATGTCAACATGAACTTTTAGATATATTCAATGACTGGCTAAATTTTTTTTTCTGAGTGTATGTATTTATATATACGGCAACACCCGTTATGTTGATTTCGAACGATTTACGATTCGTGGTTGACAGGGGGTTGCGTAAGTTGAGGTCCAAATGTCAGAAAATCAATTATTGGCTCCGTATATCAAAAGTATTTGATGTTGATCCCCCGCTGTTTTGGGCATTCTTCGCTCCCCTCGGATCCTTCTGCCATTTAGTGCACTTCATTGGCGTTATACGTCTATTTTATACTCTCGCACATATACATATACACGTTCTCATTCCACTATTTTAATCATGTGCGTGTCAAGTTAATTTTCGAACGGACAGTAAACTTTCTTTTTTTTCTTTTTTCCACAGGGTACGGAGGAGGATGACAGAGCTTCCGTTGCTTCGGTAAGTTCATCAGCATCATTTATTCTACCATCATTTAATCTTTCTATCTATACGTTTCATCCGCAAATTGAATTTCACGCCAAAGAGTGTTATCATCTTTGGTTGATGATTGCAGGAGTCTATCTTATTAAAATTTTTTATATCGGGAATTTACTCATTGATTTATTTGATTTTTTAAAAATTATGATTAATTGGTTTCTCTTTATTTATCTCTTTCGTAGCTTTTTATTTGCAATCAACAATTTATTAACAGGGGTGCAATTTTATAATTTGAGTTTAATTAATTAAATTTTTGTGGCAAATAGTTAAAGAATGTTTAATCAATTCCGTTGGGAACTGTTTGATTAATTATATTGTTGAAAATAGTTTTTGCTGTAAAATAATAATAATAATTGTGTCGTAAATTTCGAAAGTTTTGAAAGAAATATTTTTGCGAAGATTACCTCAAAATATTTCCTAACGCTGACTTCATTTCCTGCAGCAACTGGACGGAAAGTCACGCGAATGGCTGGTGAGGGCTGCACAAGGGGATTACCAGGCCCTGGCGAAACTTGCTGCGGAGGAACCTCGTCTCACCAGAATGAAGGTAAGGAATTTCTTGAAAATTAAAGTAATTGAGGCCCTAAAGGCAAAAGCAAGTTTAAAACTTTAGTCATTTCACTCACTTATTTTCATTCATCGTTTTCGTGTGATGCCTTGAATTTTACAATAAAATTTAGAGAATTTCGCGAAATTTTGAAAGATGGAAAGAGTTAAATTAAATATTATCATTGTATAAAGTTTTATATAAAAATCTTGTACTTGTTAGCATTCTAGAGTATATACAATTTATCATTATCAGTGGAAAAATTCTTTTGAGTTCTATTACAAATTCTTTGTATACTTTAAGTGAATAGAATCTTTTTTTGCAATGCAGGGCTCGAACTAGTAAATCCCGTAAAGGGCCGTAAATTTGCTTGAAGTCCGTAAAAGTCAGTTTTTTTTAAAAAAAAGGTCCGTAAAGTCCGTAATTTTATTGAGAAAAGACGAAAAAATGGTAAATTGTACGATATAATATGGAAAATTTTAGAAAAATGACAAATGATTGCAGAAATTCAATTATTTTCAAAAGTAATAAAATTCTTTGCAGAAATTCAATTATGTTCAAGATTTAAAAAAATTCCCGTCAAAATTTCAATTATCTTTAGAAATAATTAAATTATTCTTCTCGGAAATTCAATTATTTACAAATTTTTTATAAAAATTCTTTGCAATCATTAAATTATTTTCATAAATAATAAAACTCATTGCAGAATTTCAATTATTTTTAATAAAATTTTAATCAAATTCCTTGAAAAATGTAATTATTCTTAAAAATGTTATTAAAATTCGTCAAAAGAATTCAATTATTTAAAAATTTATTTATAAAATTCTTTATCAGAATTCAATTTTAAAAAACATGCAATTATTGACTTGTGTTCAAAAATTTTTTAAAATTCTCGTCAAAATTTCAATTATCTTTAGAAATAATTAAATTCTTCACCGAAATTCAATTATTTACAATTTTTCTTATAAATTTCTTCTCAATCATTAAGTTATTTTCATAAATAATAAAATTTTTACAGAAATTCAATTATTTTCGTAAATAATAAAATTCTTTTCAGGAATTCAATTAATTACCTACATAAATAATTAAACTCATTGCAAGATTTCAATTATTTTTAATACAATTTTACTCGAATTTCTCGAAAAATGTAATTCTTCTTAATAATTTTATTAAAATTCGTCAAAAAAATTCAATTATTTAAAAATTTATTGATAAAATTATTTACCAAAATTCAATTTTGAGAAACATGCATTTAATATACATTGTTTTTTTGTATTCAAATAATTGAATTCTGGTAGAATTTTCTAATAAAAATTAATTTAAAAATGGATTTCAGTTAAAATTTTAGTTTATAATTGAATAAATTATTATAATTAAATAATTAATAATATTTAAAGCATTAAAGCTTGAATTTTTAGAAATAATTGAATTTTAAGATGGTTTCAAATTAAAATGTTTGAAAGTCTGGATTCTTTATGGAAATTAGATTTTAAGAAACATTCAATTATTCAATAAATTATTTATTTTTGTATTTAAATAATTGAATTCTCGTTGAATTTTTTAATAAAAATTGATTTAAAAATGAATTTCTGTTAAAATTTTAGATAACAATTGAATATTTAAAGCAATATAGGGTGAACTTTTTGAAATTAATTTGTTTGAAAAAGTTTAATCGAATTTTTTTTATATTATTTAAAGTTTTTATTTTCTAATATATATTTAAGGAAGAATCTGACAAACAATCGGAAAAAAGTTAGTTCAATGTCATAATTTCGTATTTTAATTAAGAAAAAGTGACATTAAATTTTAAATTCCTTTCGGTAGAAGCGTAAGGAATTTAATTTTCTACATTTTGAATAATTTAAAGTTATATTTGAATACAAATTATATTTTTTTGTCAATAATAAATGATTTAAGTAACATAACCTAAAATTTAACAAATGTTTCTTATTGACAGAAAATAGTAATTTTTATTCAAATGCAACTTTTAATAGTTTTAAATGTTCAAAATTAAATTCTTCGCCTTTCTACCAAAACAAATTTAAAATTTAATTTGTCTTTTTCTTTTAAATTACGAAATTATGACATTGGGCTAATTTTTTATGTTTTGACTGTACATCAGATTCTCCCTTAAATGAAGAATTTACGAATAATTGAAATTTCGTAAAATTGAATATTGTAAAAATGGATTTGAAAATTGTCAAAGAACTTTTTGGAAAATTATTAAAAATAATCGATTTAAGGAAGAATTTTCGTTAAAAATTCTTGAAAATAATAATTGAATTGATAATGATTTTAATTATTATAAAACATGAAAAAATTGATCACTCCGAGTCGAAGACTCGGAGTTATCGATATATTCATGTTTTATAGTTATGAAAAATTTAATTTATAGTTTTAATTTAATTATTAATTATTAATTTAATTATTAATAATTATTTTTGAATTATAACTTCGGACTGGTTATAATTTTGTTAGTAATTGGTCCGTAATTTTTTCTTTTTGGTTCGTAATGTCCGTATTTTTAAATACTTTGACTGGTTCGAGCCCTGATTTTGAGAAAAATTAAAAAGTTTCCACTAGAATGCAAACTAAAAAAGCCAAACTGATGATAATTAATTTTGTCAAGACAAGCGAGCGAATTTTTAAATACAGGATAAAGTAAATTTTTCACTCATGGTAAATTAATCCAGTATCTCAAGTCGAGGCTAATGACTTCGTAATTGCAATAAACCTATTACAATATCTTATCAGAGAAATTGATCGTTGCGACTTTGATGAATGGCAAGGACGATCCTTAAAATTATATAGTCACTTTTGAGTGATAAGAACTATTATAAACAGTGTGAAAAGAGGATGTGTAAAAAAAATTAATTACCTGGATCACGACTTTGTGTATACGGACCTGCTGTCTATCATCTGCAAACCACTTATTACCCACATTTGCAAGTTTCTTATACTTTTAACACCTGCGGCATTCTAAATTTGGCGTTTTCGCGTGAACCACCAATGACAGGTCAATAAATCTAGCTAAGAGCTCATGTAGCAATCAGGCGGGCCTGCTGCATGCCACATGTGTGCTATTGCGCGATACTCTAATTGTCAGGATTGCACCTTGGTGAGCCATTTTTCAAAATCGATCCTATCTTTCACTGAAGCTTTAATATAACGGCATTCTATCGTTCTCGATAAATGTCGAGTATCATCGCGGTCACATTATTTATGCCTTAAAATTTATTTCGAACAAACAAATTTCTTACTCGAATCAAACAAATTTTTCAATTGAATATTTTTATTTAGTATCCAGACAAGAAGTCCAAACCAAAAAATCCAAAGTAAATTAAATCCAAAAAAGTAAACAAAAAAAAAAACAAAAATAGATTCACTTTGGACAATCAGTAAAAATTTTAAAAATAATTATTTTCAAAATTTCCACTGATTGTAATTTTGATGTATTTTAAACAAATTTTTTGTAATTGCAATTTTTGAGTAAATCAGAATTTTTACAATTAAAAACAATATTTTTCGAACATTAAGCGTTATGTGATTTTTATTTTTGAGAAAAGGACGAGAGAGTCTTATAGAATTTCTTTTTTTTTTCATTAAAAAAAAAATGAGAATATAAAAATTGATAATTTCTGAAAAAATCATAAAAATTGGAACATCAATTAGTTGAGAGTATTACTTTTGTTTGTCAATAAAATTGGATTTGCACCTGACCATTCGATACGTACAATGTCCACATTCACTATGAAGCATGAATCACGCGATACGCGATGGTCACGTGTCTAATACGGGCTCGTAAATCAATGAGTTTTACGATCTATGAGACAGTAGGCAGCAGACCAATAATGGCCAGCCGAGAAAACTCGTTGCTTCCCTTCGATGTTCTAGGAATTCTCAGTCTAATACTCCTTTACAAAAAAAAAAAAAATTCCAACAATACCGAACACCACAAAAAAAAGTTTACGGTCCAAATAAAGTAACTTGCACGGAAAATCTGAAAATTTTGCAATTCTGCAAGACTCAGGAAATAGATATTTCTTCTTTTTTTTCATAAGATGTATAGTTTTTATTAAAAATTTTACTATGCAACTTTTAATTAAATTTAGTATTTTAAAATTTTAATTTACATAGTTTTTCTAAGACTACCAAATTGAGACAAAAAACGTATCAAAACGTTGCTTCGCAACAATTTTGATACGTTTTTTGTCTCAATTTGGAAGTCTTAGAAACTTTTAGGAAACTTTTAAAACTTTAAATTTTGATTACCGAACAAGTTTTAATTTATTTTGATTGTCTCAAAAAAAGTTCAAAAATAGCTCATTTTGATAACTTGCGAAAATGTTACTTTTCAGTTATTTTGAATTCTATCAAAAATGAGTTTGGGGAACGTTATAGGTGAATGTTGAGTTTAGTTTCTAAATTATTGAAATTTAAATTAATCAAAATTCTTTTTTCTTGAATAAATCTGATTGTGAGATAAAATATCTCGAATGAAGAGAATAAAAATTTTGAATCCCATTGATGCTGGGGAAAAAGAATATTTCAATTTGAAAGGCAATGAAAGTTAAAGAGTTTCGAGTTTGTTACCTCTGAGGTTCGTTAAGTGGCGTTGAAAGAAGAAATTAATTCGATGGTAGCGATGAAATAACACGTGGACGATCGTCAAGCAGAAGCGTAACATCTAGGTGGGCGGGCCCGCACTCCTTAAATCAGCCCGAAGCCATCATAATATTAAGCCAGCCTTCACTCCCCGTTTATTTGTTTGCTTAGAGCGAGTAATTAGAATTCGATACAAATGGACATTATTTATCGACTTGTAAACGTGGAGGTAGATGTATATACATGGAGGAGAGGAGAAGCCATTGGGATAAGGATCCTGATTGCTTCGCGTTATTAAACTTGGCGAGAGAGATAAATACATGGAATCGGCCTCTGTAATATATATTGTAATAACCTTCCTGAAATTAAACTATACACTTCACCTTTTAGATTCT